TTTTGCAATGATTTTTTTTGTTAGCATGGAGATCTCAGTGTGGAATTACAAAGAAGAATATACAAATACTCGTGTATCCTCCAACTTGACATTTAGGAATCTGGTGTTTAGAGTTGTGTGTGTGTATTTATGATCTTTGTAACTGGCTTCATGTTTTGTTTTGTTTTTTTAACCTTTTACCATTCCCTGAGTGCTTCCATGCAGATATATGGACTTAATTCACTTATTTTTACTCTGCTCTGGGTTCCATTCTCTTGCAGTAGGCGTTTACAGTGTCTTCAAACTCATAAGTGTGGAATATACTGATTATTGGCATTTTAATTTTTATTTCCTTTTTGTTGTTGTATTGTTTTGCAGTACTGGGGATTGAGCCCACCTTCTGAAGAATATTAGGCAAGTGCTCTACCACCGAGTCACATCCCCAGCCTATTTTATTTTGAAACAGGGCCTCCCTAAATTGCCCAGTTTGGCCTCAAACTTTTGATCTTCCTGCCTCAGTCTCCAGAGTAGCTGGGATTACAGGTGTGCTCCACCATGCCTGGCTTCATTTCTCTATTTTAAATGAGTTTGAGTGTCCATCCCCACCCTCCCAGCCCTATTCTGGGGATAGAACCCAAGGCCTTGTGCATGCTTGGTAAACACTTTATCAAGCTCCATTATCGTGAGCTCCATCATCAGCCTGGACTTTGAGCTGCTTTTATGTAATTATTGGTTGTTTAACCAACCAGTATTTTGTGAATTGCCTGTTTATATCTTTTGCCCATTTTAAAAATAAAACTGCATTGTGTTTTTTCAATTGGCAATTTTTATAATTTTATTGTTAACACAAAGAGACCGGGACGGATGCAAAATTCACAAATTAACCAAAAGTCTTTATTCAGGGTTGGAGTTATGGTTCTGATGGACCCACTCTCCTGATGGAAAATGAGCTACTGAACAAAGGAGGGAACTGGACTTATATAGGTTTTGGGTGATTTAGTGAGCGTGTCCATTTGGACACTCAGGAATTTGGGTTGGTGGTCTGTGGTCAGCACCTAGAGAGGATTTATCTTGGAAAAGGTTAGTGTTTTCCAGAGACTGTTGTTCTAGGTTTGATGAAACATTTTCTCCCCACCGGAGGCCAGCATCTAAAAAAGGATTTAACTTGAAAGAGATGAAAGCTATCAATGTATAGATTTCTTTTTCATTCCCTTTTCCCAGGCTTCACTATTTTGGGTTTTTTCATTTTCCATATCAAATATTTATGGATATCTTTTTTTTTTTTTACCAGTTCAGCACATTACTTGCAAATATTTTCTTCCAGACAGTAGCTTGCTTTGCACTACATCCTCAATTTCTAGGGTATCCTTGAAGCATAGATTTTAAATTGTTATATAGGCAATTATCATTTTTTTCTTTATGATTTGGGCATTATGTGTTTTGATTAAGAACTGAGCCCTGTCCGAGTTTAATATTGTGTTTTCTGCTGATTTTTTTTCATAATATAGATATATAGTCAGATTGATACAAATCCTGACAACTTTCTCCATCAGGTATTTCACATTTACGCCAGACACATTACAAACTTAGACTCATTTGTTTAAAAAGTAGTACTACATAAATATATGAGACAAGACATTTTAGAGAATCTACTGTATATCACATTTCTAAGTTGTTTTCAGTATTGTGATCCTTTTTCCCAGAGTTTGGAACTTATAAGATAGAAATGCAGTTCTAAATTTTTCCCTAGTAATAGAACAGAATTTTGATATTACTCTGCAAATATTGTGGAAGTTGAACTATTAACTTCAAACCCAAGTTAATAGTTTAGTCTCTGTTGTACTTCATAATCTCCATGTTCTTGACAGCCCAGTAAGGAGGAATTTACAAAATCATTGGTGAATAATTCTGCTTCCATGTAAATCCCTCCTGACTAATGTATAATGTGTATGTATGTATGCCTCATGATGGATGGCGTCACAATGGTGGGAACATGTGCAAGTTCGGATATCATATGGCAAGACAGGAACCCATGTCTTCAGAAGAGAGGGTCCAGACTCTCTCTCTCTCTCTCTCTCTCTCTCTCTCTCTC